AAAAAAAAAAAAAAAAAAAGTAGGCAGTAGGGGACCACTTGGCTTCAGTATAAATAAGCCTCTGGAGAACTTTGACTCTTTGGCTGAGTGAAACCAGAAGCCGCAGGGCAGAGGAGAAACAGGCTGGCTTTTGAAGGATCATGGCTGTTTGTGGATATGATTGGAAGCTTAGGAACCAGTTGGGTAGAGATTACCTTAACATCCGCTCTATGGCAGTTTGGTGCTCTCTGCCTCTTGATTGCCCCTTCTAAAGGTCTGCTTTGTCCTTATCTGTGCTAATTTACATTTGTCCTGCCCAAGGCCGGTACCATATTTTTAAATATCACACCTCTTCCTCATTAGCTTCAGCCTGTATGGACGTTTCCCTATGGATAACCTTTGTATTCGGTGTTTTTCATTATAGAAATAAAAGATGGCCATTCTCTGCTCTCCGGGCTAATGGCATTGTGTCTCCTCCAACCCACCTTCGTTTGGCTTGTGAAAAACCCTTTTTGCACCTGCTGGTCATACTTCTCTCTGGCATGACTGCCACCTTGTGTCCCTTGTCTTTGCCTAGTAACCTTTGTTGACTTCATCGTTACCATGTATTTGAGCTGGGCCACTCATCCTGAATGACCTTCAACTTCATACCTCTTCGGAGCTTTACAGCACACTCCTAGTCTTGATAGAAATGAAAATAAACTCATCTTGTTTTCTGACTGATGCTCAAGCCAACCTTTTATTTGTGTTTTATTATTCTCGGGTCCATTCCTCATTGCATGTATTCCAGATCTTCATATATCCCTTCAACCAAGATTCAAGCCCTGGTTTGGCTGACTCAACTCCACACTGCGTTATTCGGTCCAAACCTGGAGCATTTTGCTGTCAGGCCATAGCCTGACAGCATTTCCCATTTCAACATCTGCTGCTCATTCTTACTGTGTTGTTAGGCTTCCGTCCAAAGCAAGATTTTACATCTGCCTGTATTAAACCGTATTAAGGTTTGCTACATTGCTGAAGCCACTGCTTTCCTGGAAAAAACTAAAAGGCACAAGCAAGGAAGATCTGCAAATGAGCCTTGGCCTGATTTTTTGTAAACCCTATCTACCAGGCTGCTGTTTAACCCAATGATCAGTTAAAGACCACCTCGTTAAATATTCCATTATGTTACATGTCAGTAGCCATTGAATCCAACAGTAGTAGATAATGATTATTTCACTGCTGTTTCTCCATTACCTCTTCGCTAGTTTCAACTTTTTTGTCAATATCCTTAATTTCAAATATTGCCCTAATCTCTCTTATCTCCAGTCCATAATAATGGTTTCTTGACTTTCTGTTGTCCCTACCCTGTCTACTAAGTCCATGCCACACCAAAAGTTCACCATTAGCGTGAGTTTTCCCAAATAGTGGCCGGGCAGTGTTGGCACACGCCTGGAATCCCAGCACTCGGGAGGCAGAGGCAGGCAGATCGCTGTGAGTTCAAGGCCAGCCTGGTCTGCAGCGCAAGATCCAGAACAGGCACCAAAACTACGCAGAGAAACCCTGTCTCAAAAAAACCAAGAAAGAAAGAAGGTGGGGGTATAGCTAGAGTTTTCCTGCCTTGCCCACAGTCAGGACAAATCTTTGTCACCTGCCAGTCCCACAGCCGCTCAGACCCAACCAATGACTTATATTGCTTACAAACTATATGGCTGTGGCAGGCTTCTTGCTAACTGTTCTTATAGCTTAAATTAATCCATTTCCACAAATCTATACCCTGCCATGAGGCTCGTGGCTTACCAGCATCTTTTCATGCCACTTGTCAGGGTGGCAGCTGGTAGTGACTCCTTCTGCCTTCCTGTTCTTTTATTTCTCCTCTCTGTTAGTCCTGCCTATACTTCCTGCCTAGCCACTGGCCAATCAGTGTTTTATTTGTGGACCAATCAGAGCAACTTGCCATACAGACCATCCCCCAGCACAGCCAAGTGCAGACCATCTTAGACACCTGCACTCAGGCCCGTGGTCCTAATCATCCTCTGTGCGGACCTGCTGGGTAAAGCCACAAGGAACCCAAGAATGGGCTCCCACAGGACATACAGAACATCTCACAGCAGTGGGGAGAGAGAGAGAAAGAAAAAAATAGTAAGTGACCCCCAAGAAGCTTTGAATAGCCCTTACCCCCAAGCTCTCAGCTGTTAACTATTCCCTTTCTCTGCTGGGAGCAATTTGTTCATGTGTTCTCCCAGCACCCCCAAGCTCTTTCCTGAACCCCATGCTTTCCTGGGCCCTTCTGCACTTTGTATCTCTCTGCAGTACCTGTCCCACCCTGCCTCTGTCCTTCGTTACAACTACAAGAGACAAATGGTCACGAGTGAGTGTTTTCACTGGGTGTGGCAGCACTCCCCTGAGGGTCTGAGACAGGAGAATCGCAAGTTCTCTACTAGCCTGATAAACATAAGACCTAGAAAAGCAAGGACTGGGGAAATATCCCAGTATTACAGCACTTTTGTAACACCATGGGTTTGGTCCCCAGCATCACTCAAAAGAGAAGCATCATTGGGGGAGAATCAGCCTTCTGGGAGAGGATGCTGAGGCTCTGGATGTGAGAGGTAGGAAAAGGCAGCATTCTGTGGGAAGAGCATTGACCTGGCGGTCTACAGAGCCAGTTCTGGTCTCAATTCTGCTTTGCCCTAACAACGCTTTGAGCCCCCAGTGGACTCGGCAGGAACATAGTCCAGCCCCTGCTCTTTGATGGTCACGTGAAATCAGAGATGTGAAAGTGCTTTCCTGACTCTAAGAAGAGTGCACCATGGGCACCGTGATTTGGCAGCCACGGAACCCTGCGAGAAGCTGGTCCTGTCTCCCTTGATTTACTTGAAATAAAAAAGTTTGAGCTGCCAAGAGTTTGCAAATCCCATCTTGGCTATAAACATAGCCTTAGGAAGACAATCAAGGAGAGTCATTCAGAGAAATAATAGTACTTGTTCCCATTTCCTCTTTGGTGTGGACTTACCTATTGCACATCTGGGAAGTGGAGCTCCAATGCCTGCAGTGGCCCAGTTAGATTTTGCCATTTTTCATGTAGCTAAATACCACTAGATGCTCTGATGTGTTGATTCATTTAATTCCCTTGTCCCTGGTCCTATCTTTATTCTCATAACGATGATGAAGTATGTCAGTATCCCCCAAGCTTTGTTATAAATGAATGACTGGAGGGAGCATAAAATGCTGGTGCTAGCTCAGCCTCCAGTGGTCAACGGTGTGACCAAAACATCGGCAACATTTTTTTAAAATTCCCAAATGATTCAAATATGCAGCCAGAGTTTGAGAACTCAGAAACACTGAAATGGCAGTCCCAGAATGCAGAAATCTGCCCAGAAGGTAAATGGTAAACTCACCCAAGATTGCTGTAGAGAGCCACAAATGCAGTTTGCTGGCTTAAGAGGCCGGGCAGTGGTGGCACACGCCTATAGTCCCAGCACTCAGGAGGCAGAACCAGGCGGATCTCTGTGAGTTCGAGGCCAACCTGGTCTACAGAGTGAGTTCCAGGACAGGCACCAAAGCTACACAGAGAAACCGTGTCTCAAAAAACAACAAGAAGAAGATGCCTATAAGAAAAAAATAAAAATGTCTGTAGTGCTCTTTAAAAAGTGTACAGAGGAAAAAACAGGTTCTGAAACTTGCTGTTTCTCTTAACAGAGGCTTCTAAACTAACCTGAGATCTGTACTGGGTGGAAATACACCAATAGCAAGTTTGAAATCTCGCAAGTACAAATTCTTTTTTAATTAGTCGGTTACATGAAAACAAAAGCGTTTCTTTGCTTCCGAAACTCAAGTCCACGTTTAAAGCTGTACCTGTGCTGGAGGGAGAGGGCTCAGCGGTTAAGAGCACGTGACGCTTTTCCAGGGGACTCACGTTTCAATTTCAAGCACTCATACCAGAAGACCCACAACCACCTGTAACTCCAGCCCCAGGGAGGTCGGACACCTCTGGCCTTTTTGGACACCTGCACTCACGCACGCGCGCGCGCGCACACACACACACATTTAGAAATAATAAACACTAATTTTTTTTTTTTTTTTTTTTTTGGTTTTTCGAGACAGAGTATCTCTGTGTAGCTTTAGTTCCTGTTCTGGATCTAGCTCTGTAGACCAGGCTGGCCTCGAACTCACAGAGATCTGTCTGACTCTGCCTCCTGAGTGCTGGGATTAAAGGCACCACCACCACCACCTGGCAGTAAACATTACATTTTAAAATAAAGACAGTGTCTGAGGCAATCTACCATTTCTAAAGTTGACTTCTACATCATTCCCCACTACTAAAAGCAAATAGCATTTATCACTTGATAGGTAAATATTAAAACCCATGATTGTTAGTAAACACTAAATATCAAAATATAAAGACTATCTTCTTAATTAAAATACGAGTTTTTAGAAATCATTTCTCCAATCTAGAAAAAAAAAGTTTTAATTGAGTTTTTCTTTCTGCCTCTGAGGGCAATTTCTAAGTCACTTTAATCTCAAAAAGTTTTGGTTACATCTGTCCATTGGGTTAGGAGTTGAAATATCCCACAGCATCCTGCACTAGGGCCTGTTCCCTGCTTGTTTTCAAAGCATCAAGGGTGCACTACAGGTACTTACTGTGCTCTGTTCTGGGTCCCACGTGAGTCCTTCCAGTCTACTCGTGTATAATGCCTGAGAGGCATCTGCTGCTTGAATCTATTTGCAAGCATTCCTTACAGCCAGGGAGGCAGAGAACCCTATCACCCACTTTACCATGCAGCTTTTCAGAATGTAGCAGCAACTTCTCATAGCCCCAAGTCCCAAGCTCCGTCCTCGCTTTCTTGCCCCCACACTCACGGATCCCGTACCTAGAGCTGTCCCTCACAATGGCGTACCATCTGTCCCAGTCTGCCAATGTGGTTTGGCCATCTCCAGGTGATCACTAACACCCCACCCCACCCCACCAACTCGGTCTGGTTTGAATGGTAAAAGTGACATCCCCAAGTTTCTTCATTCTCTTGGTCTCACTCCCCCGGGGGTTATGTGTGTTCTGTGTCGGCAGCCCGGCAGGCATTTTGAGATTGTAGACTGTGGGATTTTGCTGCGATGACAAGTAGAAAGTCGAGATAGGACGTGGAGCCCCTGTGTGTCAGAACAGGTGACAGAGTGGCTCCCGAGTGTATCAGTTCAGCCCATAAATGTCTAGCCAAGAAGCCTGCTCCAATAGATTGCAAAGGGTCCAGAACTTAGCTGTGGGCAAGCGAGCCCACCTGCTTTCAGCCCAAAGCTGGAACCTGAGGGTGTGATGAAGCGTGAACCTAATTAGTCTTATCAATGAAAACCAGGAACCAGATATCAGGGTAATAACCTGAAAGATCAGAGAAACAGAGGAGCATCCACCAGTAACTTCTTACCTCTCTGGATCCTCCGACCAAAAGGGCTGAGATCCTGTGTCCAAGCCCTGCCTTATCACTCCCTCTCTCCGCCTCCCGAGTGCAGGGATTAAAGGTGTGAGCCACCACCACCTGGCCTCTATGGTTAACTAATGGCTAGTTCTACCCTCTGATCTCCAGGCAAGCTTTACTTGTCAGAACACAAACAAAATATCATACAATAGTGTGATTGGGGAACTGGCTGTTGGTTCAAAGCTGATCGCTGGAACCTCCTTAAGATGTACATAGCTAAGCTGAGTCATTTCTTAATGTTCTGAGAAGCCTTTCATCCTTGTTTAAGGAATATTTTATTTATTTGGTTATGATAAATTGTGCTTCCCAGAGGCACAATGGGTATCCGATTTCCCTGTGAGGACAGAATGCCACAGTGTGGTTGGCATTCATTCGAATGAATGACAGGGTTTGAACAAGGTGCTTTCCTGTCAGTTGTGGTTGGACAAGCACTGGGAGGTGGAGACAGGAGGATCAGTAGACTATATCTCAAAACAACAAAAATAAAAACCATAAAAATCATGTGTGTGTGTGTGTGTGTGTGTGTGTGTGTGTGTGTGTGTGTGTGTGTGAATGTTGCTAGTGAACAAAAGGAACTAACAGAAAGAGGAAAAGAATTGTGCTGGGTTAGAGGACAAACATGATCATATGCACTTGTGTGAATACTAAAAAGTAAAACCACTTTTTGGTTTTTGGTTTTGGTTCAGCTTTTTGCTTTTGTGAGGCAGGGTTTCTCTATGTAGCACTGGTTGTCCTGGAACTCTTGCTGTAGACCAGGCCAGCCTCGAACTCAGAGATCTGCCTGCCTCTGCCTTCTGAGTGCTGAGATTAAAGGTGTGAGCCACTATTTTTAAAAGATGTTTTCCGACATAATTTTAATTAGAGGCTCCAGTGTTTAGTAACAGAAGCCTCTTGAGGTATTTTGTCACATATCTTCATGGTGAAATTTATGCAGTTGTTAAAATATAAACAAAAATGTTAGAGGCTTTTCATACTCCTATTATTGTATTGATCATAGCATTGTAAATATTTCCATGTGACTACTATAGACTTGATTCTGAAAACAATGAGTTAGGACGCATTATTCAGCTTGTATGATCTTTCCCTCACTTTTTTTTTGTTTGTTTTTTGCCTGAAAACTGAACACAGACTAACTAGCTATTTCCTGATGAAGTGTCAGAAAGTCCTAGCACAGAGCACAGCCTGACAGAGAACACTGAGACTATGCTGGGAGCTCCTATAGGAAGAGCTTTCACTGATGCGATATTAGAATGAACCAGTGAATCCATGCTGGTCCCAGTACAGTGAGGAGGACCAGTGGGCTGGTGGCTCAGGAGCATGTCTAATTCACCGATGTGTTATAGTTGGCTACAGTTGTCATAGCACCCCCTGAGTGTCTGTTTGTTTGGCTGGTGGGTTTGGTTGTTTGCTTCATGGATATCCTACATTGAAAATTAGGTTGGTGTAAAAGCATCCTTTTTTTTTTTTTTTTTTTTTTTTGCACCTGGCAACATGGACTCTCATTCCCATAGTGATTCTAGCTAGGTGCTGTTTGCATGCTGCTCAGTGCTCCCTGTAGGCCAATGTCACTTATCAGTATCTGGACCATTTATTGTCTCATAGTAGGACTAAGAGGAGAGAGAGATTAATTTTGTTGCTATTGAGTTTTGAATAATTAAGAATTGATCAGGGTACAATTTAAAGAAACTTTCTAACCCGGTCATCCTCACTCGTATGTGGTGCCAGCCTGGGTCCATCAGGCATTTGTATAGAGCCTATAACCTGTCGTAAAATGTTAGGGCCGTGGAGAGGAGCTAGCCCTGTGGGTCAGGTGACCATTCTTTCCTCATAAGGATAAGTGAGTCAGTCTTGGAATGACTGTACCTTTTTGCCCAAGGCTCTTGTTAGAAACTAAAGTAATTCTTTAAGATACAGTGACGTTTCTCTTTACACTGATTGGGCCTTTTAAGGGGTTTTATTTATTAAGTTCAGCAGAGTCGCACACATTTGCAATCCCAGCCCCCAGGAGGCTGAGACAGGAGGGTCACAGACACAAGGCCAGCCTGGCTTCCATAGTGACACTTCAACTACAACAAAAACAAAGACAAAAAACTTGCAAATGTTTGCCTTGGTTTTAAGTTACAGAATTGATAGAGGTCAATTCTCTGTAAACCAACTCTCTAACGGAGTGGTTCTCAACCTCCCTAATGCTGTGACCCTTTAGTACAGTTCCTCATGTGACCTGGCCCCCACCATAAAATTATTTCCTTGCTAGTTCATAACTAATTTTGCTCCTGTTATGACTTGTAAATATCTGATATTTAAAATCAGGGGGTCGTTACCCACAGTTTGAGAACCACTGACCTGACGCCTCTTCCCACTATGAAACACTGTGATGCGTGACATTCTACAAGTACGTTCTCTGACAGCATCAAGGAGCTATCTAGCTTATTGAGTCTAGTTTTGTTCCAAGGTTTGTGACCAGTGTGAAGAGCACACTGGAAAGATGTACCCTGTGCCCCTGATTTCCCTTTCTGAGCAGTGTGAGCTGAAGAGGCACCTGCCTGGTGGAATACACTCGGCATGCTTGGGGCAGTGGTGGCAAGTGTGGGGGTAATTGTAGGTGTGGGGGTAATTGTAGGTTTGGGCATGGCCAGTTGTAGGTGTGGGGGTGATTGTAG